ATCATGCTTAATAGTAAAAGCTGAAATGAGACCATTTACTTTGTTTAAAATGCTGCACTGTGCAAGTTTGGAATTGTACMTTAATAATTCACTGTATGTAATGTCTCAACTTTGTTTATACCTCCAGGTTTTTACACTGAAGATAAACTAGCTTTAATGAAAGTCAAAGTTGGTTTTTTTGTTTGTTTGTTTTTTAGGGAATAAGCTGTTAGGCTAAATCTGTATAAATGTGCTTTTTATTTTCTGAATGCACAAYGAAAGTTTATACTTGTATTTCACTGCATCATATCTGATTGCAGAAATTAAAGCACAATTTGCAAGCACTGCTGTATTTGGTGTGAACTAACACATGGAGAAATCTTTTTCATTCATTCAGGAAATGTTGGTAAGCCTGCCTGGGTCCTGGCAGGCCCTACCACAGACGTTAAGAGCTGTGAAATCTCAAGGCTGTGCTCTCCTGAAGAGCAGGCAGGAGTTCCTGTGCATGAGTGCACGCGTGTGCAGTTGGCTGGTGATTGGGAATGTGTAACTAAACAGATATTTAAAATTCCAGGTGGTGATAAAATGCTATCAAGAAAAATAAAGTCGGGTTAGGGGGCCTTATAGGGTAACTAAAAGAAAAGAGTTTTTAACTCCTGAGATTAAACGCCACTGTTTCTTTGCTTTTGCRGGGATATGTGACTTTAGAATCTATTGTTGTATTGCTGGAAGGGATCTGGTTCCTTTAAGACTGACAGAAAAGGCTTTGTTTTTCCTCCCAGAGGGGATCCTTGAGCTAGCACAGTGAAATGATTTATGAGGGTAGGGTTTTATCTAATTAGTTTTGTTTAGTACTTATTAGATTGAGACATGTCTGGTCTTAAAAGTTTCATTTCTCTGACCTTCCCCACCTGCACAGCAGGCTTGCCGCTTCTTTGCTTGTCCACGCTGTCCTTCCCTCTGATCAGGCCCCCTCCTGTGTCCAGAAAGCCAGCCTTGAAGCCTCCCTGGAATCCAAGCTCTCCTTGCAGACTTTTCAGTTCTCTGATATCTGTATGAAATTTCCAAGTGGTTATGACCCGAGAGCTTAGTGTTTTCTAGTGTTGCCCTCCGCATCTGGTTAGCTCTTGGCCTTTAGGTGGACTCTGTTGTCTCTGGTTCTTAATTTTGCTTATTTCTTGGTTTCAGTTGAGGGCATAGGGGCCTTAATGAGGGAGTAAAGATGGGAACATTTTCCATTCAGTGTGAAACAGGAGGGGGGTTGGTTCCTGTTGAGAATTGGCACCTGTGTCTTCGCGTCACCTCCTGACTTTGAGTGGTTGTTGGCAGCAGAGAAGCCTGACTAGTCGGCTTTCTAACCCTCTCCAGTGGTTGTAGACACAGTTGTGCTGCAGGGTTATGCTTATGCCTCATTGTGACTCTAAATATTTATAAAGCCATCCCTGGGACAAGACAAATTAGGGTAAGCACCTGGGACCTATAGTGATACATGTCCTTATTATGCTGACATATACCTTTCTTTTCTTTCTTTYTTTTKTTTGYTTGCTTGCTTGCTTATTGATATTAGGGATTGAACCCAGGGGCTTTTAACCACATCCCCAACCCTTTCCTTTTTTATTTTGAAACAGGGTCTCGCTAAGTTGCTGAAGCTGGCTTTGAACTTGGAATCCTCTTGCCTCAGCCTCCCAAGCGCTGGGATTACAGGCATGTGCCAGGACATCCAACTGACATGTACCTTTCTAAGAACCTCCCCAATACACAGACATGTAYATGCACACATGCATGCACACACCCTACGCCAAAAATATTAGAGTGGGAGTAAAAAGGCAGTCCTTGTTTGTGCCACAAGTTCCAGTGTAACCAGGGATATGTCCAAGCACTTAAACATGAGGTGGATAACCAGGTCAGCATGTGTCATGCAAACTAAATGTTTTAAATGTCACTTACATATTGAAGAAGACAGTAATTTGCTCAAGTGGTGGTTTTGTGTCTTTAAATACAGATGTATCGCCAGGTGCAGTGGCATATGCCTGTAATCCAGYAGCTCAGGAGGCTGAGACAGGAGGATAGCGTGTTCAAAGCCAGCCTCAGCAATGACAAGGCACTGAGCAACTCAGTGAAACCCTATTTCTAAATAAAATACAAAATAGGGCTGGGGATGTGGCTCAGTGGTTGTGTGCCCCTGACTTCAATCCCCAGTACCCAAAAAACAAATAAAAAAGAACAGACATATGGAGTGTGGCGGCGTACATCTATAATCCCAACTACTCAGAGGAGACTGAGGCAGGAGGATCAAAAGTTCCAGGTTAGCCTYAGCAACTTAGTAAGACCTTGTCTCAAAGAATATAAAAGGGTGGGGATATAGCTCAGTGGTACAGTGCCCCAGGGGTTCAA